AATCACTTTAAAACAATTATTCCAACTTATGGTTATTTTTATTATTTATTATTTATTATTTATAAAAAAATAAAAAATAAGAGTGCCAAGTGCTATCATAATGGAAAACATGTTCTATATCCACTTGTAATAAACATCACTAGCATGATATTTTTTTATTACTCAATTCAATTGGGAGTGTCTTCAACATGAGAGTATTTCTGTCATTTTCTGTCAACCAGGCATATGCATTCATCTGTTCCTCTTCACTAAGATCCGTATTGCATGTACGTCAGCATATACCCAAGTAATGTTGGATCAAGGTTCTCAAGGTTCAAATGATAAAACCATTAGCAATTGAATCTGCGCAAGATCCTTACACTTTTTTTTATTTATAAGTTTTATGAGGAATATCCAAAAGAAATTGTTGGTGCACGACTAGTTTTCTTTTGACCACTTGTCGAGTTAGATGAAATATCGTAAAAAATGTGGATATCATCTAAATCTTGTGTATCATCATCCAAATCAACACCTTCATTAACAAAAATTTTAACTACACCCAATCACTCGCAAATTACATGTATCGGATACAAATGAAATGTTTCCACCGAAGGAGGCTAAACAAAAGGAAATCAGCAATTTTGGGTGATCTTACTATATTAGGGTTAGCTGTTTGTGCAGTTGGGCTTCAACCCAGCGAAAGATCCTCTCTCTTAAGTTCCTTGGGTGCTGTTGTTTGAATGAAGTAACAGAAGCGGCAACATGGGTGCCTACAAACCAACATGCTGCTGGGGTGTGATTGAACCATTAGAGGGGCCATGTAGACCAAGTCTACCCAAAGAAAAAGTGAACGGTTTACCAGCAATGGAGTTGAGGGGCCCAATGAACTTTGTGTGGCTCATGAGCCTTGGACCAAAACCTTCCAGGCCCTTTCTTTGTTCTTATCTTGCTATTTTTCTTCCTCAACTTATGAATCTGAGTTGCTTTCTGGGGCATCTTGGTGTCCAATCCAAACTCATGTCACTTCCATTCCACACGAGGGCTTTGGTGGCATGTTCTAGAAAGTAAGAAACCAGGGTAAGCATCAATCCAGCCGAACCGACTAAACAGGCCGATTCCAAAATCTACAATTTGATTTGAAAGCCATAATCTCTCGATGGCCCTACGGACAACAATTAGGTACCTTTTTGTACATGCCATATAGCATGGTGGGACGAACTAAGATTGAAAATCTGATTGTGTATAAATGAATTGGACCTTGGTGGGATTATGCTCCGACAAGCCCTTTATCTTGGGTCTGTCTAGATGTTGATTTCCAGATGAAGCTCAGACACAAACAACTACTTTTGTGAATAAAGAAAGAATGAGAGAATGTCAAAAATCTTTGGCAAGGTAAGCAACCAACCAACCAACCAAAACCTTCGTTACTTTGAAAGAAAAATAAAAATTAGTTGCCTTTTTTTTCAATTCAAAAAAGCAGAAATTGGAAAAATTTATGCTAGCAAAAAAGCAGAAGTTGGGCCTGGAACAGGCGGAAGGAAAAGACCTAAAATAAAATAACCTATTTGGGCTAGCAAATAACCTAGTCCTATTATATTTAGTAAGGGCCCAAAAGTGGAGCCCAAGAAGCACAGCTTAACCATCCCTATCCTCCTAACAAAACCCAAGGGAAATATGTCCAAATTGGATCAAGAACATAATAAGAAGAAGATCAAGCAGTGGAGAAAAACGCCAACGCCAATGGGGTCTTAGCTTTCTATAGGGATGTTGGCATGTAGACTAGTGGTATGTAGTTTGATTCATTATGATATCGGATGTGTGTGTGAGAATATTCATTTTTTTAATTATGACGAATAAAAAAAATAGATTTTTTTATTATAAAAAAAAAGATTGTGGTTCTTCTATTTATTAATGTAAATGTAAATAGATTTATCAAAAGCATTTTAGTATTATTTAAATTCTCTTAAATAATAGGATAAATAAGACTTTCAAAATGAGACTATAATCAGCTTTAAAATTGTGAAGTCTCTCAGCCGTCCAAGAAATCTTTCCACCGACTGTGTCAAGACCAAAACTCTTTTCCCTTTTCATCGACATGCACCGAATTTCTCTTCCAAGTTTTCAAACTAACATCCAAACTTCCAAACTTCACACTCGGTGATTCAACGATCTCATCAATAGCATAGTGACACAATGGATAATCGATTTGCATTTCTTTTTCTTTTTTAAAATTCCCTTTAACATCACACATAACCCCAAATTGTGTTTTATAGTGAATGACTCAAATTAAAATCATTAGATAATTTAAAGACTATATTATCCTATTTTCCAAGATCCTAATATTTTCAGCTATGGTTCGGGACTACTCGAAAGGTTCGAGTATCACTCGAGGGGGGTTCGAATTCGAGTGGTTGCATTTCTAAATTATGAGGGTATGCAGTCTTTTTTGAATTTTTCAATGCAAGAAGAAAAAAAGTTCAGTTTTCTATACATTTTGAAGAGCAAAAAAGAATAATTCTTTTTGCCTAGTAATTTTCATTTGGACTGATTTCATCGTAAAACACCACAATATTCCAAGAGCCTCCTCTATAGAAACCGTACACCTTTTTGTAAATAAGGACAATAAATTTCACTTCACTTTTTTTATTTGGTCGTAAATTTCTGTCTACTTTAATTTGCCAACTTTTCCACGTCCAGTTGTAATATTCCTTTTGACCTCTCACACCATGCATGCGATACTTTCTTTATGTTCTTTTCTCTTTGTTTTCTTTTGGACTTAACTATCTGCTTATTTTCTTCTCATGCATGCTTCCTCCTACCTTGTTTCTTTGTCTTATATATTGATATCAATTTGGGGCTACTTTATTTGAGCACTGCCTGCCCTTTTACCCTTAGATTTGGACAAGGTGCTCCCCCTTAATCAAAAGCCATAGATCTAATCCAAGATCATCATTAATTTCCAGGGCATTTAGCTTTTCTTCAGGACAAAGCATTTTCAATCTCGCATACATAGTTGGCTAATGTGGATGCGCTCCCCATTTTGCATCCAACTCCGAATCTCCTTTCTTGTAATTTAGATTAGATCATAATAAAATATCGTTTGTATAAAATAAAAAAGTATTTTCAATCTCAAATAAGCGTACCCGTATATATGGTCTCCTATGAGTTGCTAACAAGTTCGTGTAAAAACTCTCTTTTGAGCAATTTCGGCTAGCATTTCTTTTGTTAGGAATTAAGATCTTACCTTTTAAAGTTTAGATCCGACCTGTAGAGCAACTCACCGACTTGAAATTCACATGCACCAACCAATTGCTGTGGCCATGAATGAATATAAAAAAGCAAGTAGTGCTTAAACAGCAGATAATTAATTATCAGCTCTAACTACAATTTCCCTTTCAAGCAAAAGCGTTTAATCTCATATCAGCATAATGCAGATTTTAATGATTACTAACAAGAACAATAATAGTAATCATAATTACAATCTATTATGTCATTCAGGTGCTGACCATCCCTAACTAAGGAAATGGCGGTAATGGATTGAATTTATTCAGTGCAATAATTTGGTGGAGGCACTTTGCCAAATCTCATTTTCCCGCCATGTTTGCTACTCTGATTAACTGGAACATTAAAGAATTTTTTGTAGTCAATTATCAGCTGAGCTGGTGAACACCAAAGAGATTTGCATAGTAAATAATTTTAGAATAAAAAGGTGAGATGAAACATTTACTTAGTTATATTTTTTTTTCGTAGGTTTCGTAAATACTTTGTATCACTCGAGCTACAAGTTTAGATTTTTATTTGCAAATTGCTAAGAACAATTATTGCACTGCTATCAGGTCTAATTCCCAGCTCCACTGTACAGAGTCCTGTATTATGAAAGGAGGACCGCATGGGACGGCTGCCTATGTTTGAAGGCCAGAACCTTTGCCTATCAATGAGGGTACTCAATATAAGCAATAATTTTGTAGCAGTGATCTTCTTATAATGTTTTCATTACTTATGTTTCAATTAGTTTGAAATACGTAGCACTAAAATTGGCCAGGCCTATCTTTTAGTTTTAGGCATGTTTCCCTAAGTCTAGTCTCAAAAATACAAGTTCCTATACTGTGTGAGTTCCCATTTAATGCAAACACGATTCAGTAACTTGATATTGATCCATATATTAGTAGAGAAGAGTGACCGTTGATCCATATATTAGTAGAGAAGAGTGAATCGGTCGATCTAACGGCTAAAAATATGTTCACATTTGCATTGTAGAAAAATCCCAAAAATAGAGCACAAGCTGCTAGTTATTTAATCTTCTCTCCAAGCAATAAGATAATTTAATTTAATTTTAAGCATGCAACAACCCAAAAGAATAAGGCTCATAATTAGTATTATGTTTTTCCTATTGCTGCACGTGTGAAGATGAGCACTAATTCAAAGCTTAATTCGATATTGATTGATCGAAGTAGCCCACAATAGGACATGAGATTGCTTTCATGTAGACATCATTAGTTTTACACAGCAAGTGTAAGTGGGCTTAGAAAGAAACAACTTTAAGGTTTTCCAACAAGGAGGTAGCTTTCAATTCAAAATAAGGAGACAAATTCCCAGTACTGATGGGCCACTATAATCATTAACAAAATAAAAAAGTTTTGATCTGGGAATCCATATTTCCACATCTCAAACTCCTTTTTTCTTTGAATTATGGGGAAGGAATATCTGTGTTACCTTTAGAGAAAGGCAGCTTAGGTAAAAAGGAGATTAGTAATGATGTTAGTGTAATGCACATACAGAAACTGAAGAGAGAAAAAAAAAAAAAAAGGTGATGAGATAACAGATCAGATCCTGGTCAAAGCCCAAAAGCAAAAGACTAAATGATATTTGTATATGTCTTTGCATCATTGGGACACAAAACTGAGCTGGTCCTGTACTAACTGGAGCAATAAAGCTGTTTGGAAATTATGAAAACCATTAGCATATCATTTCATAAAGCCCCTCAATTTGTTTCAACATTTTGATAGGATAGGCTTAAAACATGAGTGAAGTTTTCTTTTACTTTGTTCACAAAAGGGCCCCACCAAGGCCATCATTAACCACAATTTCCCCTCCAGTAAGATAAAACTACATGAACTATTGTTTGCATGTAATTGAAGCAAAAACTTTCCACAGATGAGCAAAAACACAAAGGCTTAGGGCTATGCATCTGTCCAGGCAGCAAAAATTGGCATGTGAGGCATGAGTCCTGGCCTGGATTGGACTGTTGGGATCCAAGAACTCACTGTGTCACTTGAACTTGTGAAGAACTTGGAAGCAGCTGGAGGCATTCCAAAGAAACTTGGCAGGCAAGACTTATCAGGGCTGCCCTCTCTTGAGCTGCTTAAGCTTGTCACCAAGGAAGAGGCATTGGACACGTGAGCAGCCCCCATTTTGGCAGAGTCCTCCGCCTCGGCTTGAATCGCATTGTGAGGTTCAGTGCTTGGTTGCTTCTGATCAAGCTGCTGGGATGACTGGTAAAGTGCCATTTTCCAATCTTCACCTTCATTAATGTTCTTCAGTGAGACAATGGCTTCGCCATTGCTGGTTTGGGCAACATGGTTTTGATTAGTAGCAGCCTCATTAACTGGTATGGTCTCCTTGTTTCGCTTAGCTAGTTCTCCAGCAAGAAGGGTATTGCTTGCCATAATTCGATCCACATCATATCTTGTTATGTCAAAGTTGGTAACAGCATTTAGTCCTCGGAATTTTATGGCTGCTATGTCATAAGCCTCAGCAGCTTCCTCTTGGGTGCCTAGGTTTACAGATAAAAGATAACAAAAATTAGTATTGGAAGGACACTCAGAAAAGTGTGAGCATCAAATTTAAAGCTGGGGCAAGCATGGGTCTCTGAAGGAACAGCCTTAGAAAAAGCATAGTGGGCAAGTCAAGCTGACAATCAGAACCAGAATCAGACAGTGGTATATCTCTATAAGTGGCTGAAAAGACAACAGTTCAAAGAGCTGAGAGTGCTTCAAAGATTGGCTTTTTAAAGTCATAAATCATACCCTTGAATCTCTTGCCTACAATCTAATAATAATGACAATGGTTGAAACATATCTTTAAATATGGATATTTGCCTTGTAAAGTCAAGCTTGGAAATCACTCACTGAATGTCCCAAGATAAAGATCTTTATTTCCAGCAACCCTTCCAATCCGTGCTTGCCATCTTCCATGTTGATGATGTCTGCTATACAGAGAAAAACATAAACACAGATTTCAGAGATTTTTTATTTTTTATTTTTTTCTGAGACACATTTTATCTAAAATATTATATGAGCAGCTAATAAGACCTTGTCACTCCTCTGTACATTGAAGCCCCTCTTGAGAATCCACTGCTTTTCCTGCAAAGAACAAATTTATTTTATGAGTTAAACAAAAAATATTCTTCATTAGGAGCATGAACAATTGCAAAGATCTACCTTCTTAAGTGGGCAACATATTCTTGTCTGGTCATGTTCTTCATGTCCTCCAGTTCTTTTTGATAGTTTTCCAACTGTTAAATCAGCATCATGGTTTCATTTTTAGTAACCAAAATGAATATGGGTGTAGATTGAAAAAAGAAATGCAAAGAGGACAAAATGATTACTGGGAAATTAATATGAGTGGATGGTCCCCAATACTTGAGTGCTGCTAGATCATAAGCTCTTGCAGCTTTTTCCTCCATATCATAACCTCCTAAAATAAAAAATCTTGGTATGATTAGATAAAGAACATTGGTGGACAGTTTAAAATGCTTTAGCCAGATTATAAATCAAAATGCTTACCCAAATAAACTGAGATTCATGGTTTGATTGTGATTCCCAGCCAAGCAAGGAAAACCAAACAGAAAAAGACAATCAGCATTGTACGGAAAATGGTCAGAACAAGAGCAGAATGTGACTTCAGAAAGGGCACATCCATTTAAATGAAAACATCATTGTGCTTATTAAATTTGCATGTGTTTTCTTCACCAACCTTGCCTTCCCTTCCTGCTCTGACCTTCTTTCTTGCAACTGTTGTCCCATAGATGAGCTTCATATCGACCAGTCCATCTATGCCTGATCAACAGAAGTGCATCAAGAAGTCAGAAAGTTGAAGAAAAAATAAAAGTAAAAACAGAAGTTGAAAGAAGGAAAAAGGAGAATATAAGCAAATTCAATATAAAAGAATAAACAGAAAAAACCCAGTTAGCAATTTAAGAAAATTTTACTTACAAATTGTTTATAAAAAATGAAGAAACCAAAATAATACAGAAAAAAGAGAGAGGAAAGAAATGACCTTGTGACTCCTCTGTACTGAGAGGTTCTCTGGCCAAATGTATCCAAGGACTTCCTATGAACAATTTGCTTTTGATCCACCTTTTCAGGCCCTCTTTTCTTGGTATCCATGGTCACACTATCAGCCACAGTAGGTGAGATTTGCTGTGAACCAGTAACACAGCTTGATTGGGAGCCAGGGCTCATGGACAAGCTCAAAGACTGTAAATCCCCATATGGCATTGCCCCAATAGACCCAGATTCAGCCCCATTATCACCCATGCAGCCAATCATATTATGCTCCATTGCATGGTTAGCTGCATAATTTCTTGAAATCCAGCACTTCATCTCAGAAATGCTCTGATCAAGCCCCGTTCTTGGCTGCTGGAGATTGTAATTATCTGCTGCAAGATGGGTTTCCTTGTGCCCCTCCTCCAACATCATCTCATGGCCTCTGAGGCCAGAGTAGTATGAATATTGTTGTTGTTGGGCCTGAACCTGAACCTGATGCACTGATTGTTCTTGGTGCCTGGGGTTCTGCTGCTGTTGCTGTTGCTGTTGCTGCTGCTGCTGCTGCTGAAGATGGTTGATCAAGTTTTGGTTGTTGGGCTCATGATGGTTGTTTTGTTGGTAAAACATGCTGTCTAAGCTGAGAGCCATAGCTTCTCTGTCATTGTTTTCATAATGGGTCCCCATGGTTGCACCACCAAAGAAGTCCTCTAGTTTTGGAGTTGAAGTAGTAGTTGTTGTTACCATTCCTTCAGATAAATAAAGATAAGTCAAAAGACAGAAGAGTCCACCACAAGTTTTTAAGTACAAATTTTTTTACCAAACCACAAGAAATAATAAGAGCTTAGAGAAGAAATTAACCTTGAGGCTGCTGTGACCTGTTGAGAGCTTCCATTATACAGAGAGAGCCATCAGACTTGAGTGGCATCATGGACAAAGGAGAGTACAAGCCAGCACTGGTATCTCCTTCAACTCCATAGTATATTCCATAGTTGAAGTGAGGTGGGGAGTGGAAGAAACTAGTTGGAACAGAGGAGGCAATAGCAGCAACTGAAGAAGAAGAAGACTCTGAAATTTGGTGATGGTGATGGTGATGATGATGATGAGGCTCAGATGGGGCTTCCATTTTCATATTAGGAGAGAGAGAAAAATCCAACCAGTTATTATTGTTATTATTACTGTTGTTGTTGTCGTTGTTGTTGCTACCATCATTACTCATGGATTTCATGGTCTCTCTCACTCTCAAGGTTTGAGCTTTTCTCTTCTTCCTCCCTATTCTGATCAGAGATTGTTGGTAAGTTTCTCTTGTGGCAAGGCAACTCAATCATTGGGTAGAATATAAACTAATCATACTAACAATTTTTTTTTTCTCTCTGCTTTGCTTGGCCTGGCCTTGCCTTGCCTCTGTTTTTTCAAAACTGGGTCTTTTGTTGGGTAGCTGCAGAGCTGATTGGACCAAATCTAACACTCATCTAAAATAAATCCCAACTCCTGCAACTGAATCTATCGATACTGCTAACCTCTCCCTCTCTCTCTCTCTCTCTCTCTCTCTCTCTCTGTTGAAACTGAAAAAGATATGTAATATGTAAAAAGAAAACAAAACAAGGTCCTTTAAACTAAACAAAAAGAATGAATTCCAGCGAGCAATGTTGGGTATCCTTCCCTCATTCCATAGGCATCTCTGTATGTGAGAAAGACCTTTTCTTTTGCTTTTCTTTAGTCTCACTCTGCCCTCTTTCTCTCTCCTTGCCTTTCTTTTAAAATTTGCTTTGTTATTTAAGAAGATCCCTTAAAACTCACATTAAAGATCATTCTCCAAAAAAAGATTTAAACAAAGACCCAAAATTAAAAAAAAAAAGTGTACGAACGAGACCTCATAATCTCATGTGGGTAAAACACTGCTAAATTCAACAGTTGCCATTGAAACCCAGCAGTCCAAATGTCACACCCAAAGTCGCTCACTTTCTCTCTCTCAAAAATGTATTGACTAATTATAGTCGGTTTAGTGGGTGCACCATATTAATGAACTGGTTTTGCTTTAGCTTTAATGGGTTTCTCAGGCTTTGATCAGATTTCACGGGCACAAGACAAACTGTCCCTCCAGTCACTTCAAAACAGCAGGCACAGCTTCTTCTGTAAACTGGACCTACTTTGCTATAGCTGCTTGCTACTGCTACTATCGACCATTTCGACTATGTGTGTGAAGACAAGACAAGTAGCCCCTAACGACGCCGTCTTCAGAAACTGCTTAGCGTGGAGGACAGGCATTGCTTTGACTGGCTTGGCCTGGCCTGTCCTGGCCTTCACGTACTGTGATTTTATCTTTATCTTTGTCCATTTATTTGGATTCTTTTAATGTTTTAACTAGACATTTCATGGAGATGATTGGATTTGGGCTGCTTTTTTGTGTGTTTTGGAACTGGATGGTCCAACTGAATTCTTACCCTAGCCAATTCCCTTATATAAAAAGAAAAACAAGAGAGAGTAAATAACATTGGATTCTGATCATTTCAACCCTTTTTTTTTTTTTTGTCTTTCTAGACTTTTAAACCTACCATTTGAAATGAGATTAAGATATACGACTCAAGTAACCATTCTATTGTTTTTATGGGAAATATGCCTTGTGTAATCCAATCATCCATATGAAAAATTCTTACTTATAATCTATACAAATTTAAGAATCTTAACAAAGACATATAAACATGAATAATCGTTAACAATTAATCATATAAATCTCACAAATAAGGCATGTACAACTTTAAAATGATTATTAGAACCAACTCGCCTAGTTTGGTGTATGAGACAAATGTCTCACACTTGGTATATTAAGTGAGTGTCACATGGACCTAGTGTAAATGGGTGTAATTGAGTTTATTTTTCCACAAGAAGAGGGGCCATATGTATGAAACAATGTTGATCCATTGTGAGAATGGACCAAAATATCTATAATTTCACCGAAATATCGCCGAAATTATCCTTTTTTTAGAGCAACGGTATTTTAGCACATATTCATTCAGTTATCGTCAATTTTTCGAGACCCTTGATATTTGAGACTTTGGTTGTGAGCATATACAAGGTGCTAAAGTGCTGTTTTGACATGGAAATGACTAGATGTACTGTAACTACTGTATGACTTGCCATCAAACCCCGGAGACAAAAGAACAAAATCTAGAATTATTGATGAGCAAGACACAGTGCAAAATATTTTATACTTGCTTTATCTAGAGCCTTGTTCACTTGTTGTGGTCAACACATCTAGATCAAAAGCGAGAGGGGTGGGTCACTGTAATTAATTAACCTCTAGTGGGAGCTAATTAGCGGTCATCTCATCCTAATGCCACACTGAGGAGAGCTAATAACTTATTAACTTTAATTTTGTTGAATAATTAATTTCATGAATCGGATTAAACTCATATTAACGGATCGATACATGTACTTGTAAAAGAACGTACAGTTCCAAGGAGAGCTTTGCTCAAAGTTGATATTCCTAGAATGATGAACCAAGGTCCCTTTGGGAACATTCTTTTTGTGGGAAATGCATTTTATATCCCACTAATCATTATAGGCTTATAAAACTCAGAGTACAAATGCTACGCCAACTTCGGTTATTTTATAACTTTTTATAGTCCAAGGAGGAGCTGTGGGATTGCTTCCCTTGGTTTATTAATATATTTGTGATGTCTTATTTCTGTTTAATTTTTTTAAGAGAAAACTGTTGGAACGGTAAACATCAACCTTATATTTTCATTTTTCCAAAACCAAACTTGAACAAGTAGGCCACGAAAGAGAAAAAATGGCCAATCAATCAAATAGGGGTTGCTCTTTTTATCATTTGATTTTGCATGGAAATTTGCATGGCCGAGTTCATGGAGACAGATTTTCAAGAAGGCATGATTTGGTTTTCAAAAAGAGAGAGGGGAGTTTGGAGGTGAAATATGACCAAAGGACAGAAGGTGAATGGAGCAAGAGAGAGAGAGAGAGAGGGAGCCCCTCTTTTTGATTGTAGTAATGATGAGCAAATCCATTATCCCAACACACCATGACACTAGAGGCCAATTGCTGCAAATGGTGCATGGCCAAACAAAAGAGCTTTGTGTTTTAATTTGCTTCTTTTTTTCTTTCTTTTATTGGGAAAGGGTTTGGTAGTGCCTCTTTTTATCTATGCACTGCACGCTTTTGTAGGGCCTGTTGCTAACCCTTAATTAGCAAATGCTGGTTAGCTTTAGCTATGTCTTAAGGCACTCTTAAACCTAAATATGCCCTTGAATTGCAACATCAGGCAACTCTACTCTATGGGTATCATTGCCCAAATTAAAGCTACATCAATGAAAGTGAAACTCTTACGGAATACATAAACAAAATTTGTTATTAGGATGAAGGAGTTATGGATTTCAAATGATTAAGAGTACATTTGCACATGAGGTCTTGTGTTTGAATTTCCAACTCCCAATATCATTTGTATATATGAATTTTTTTTTGGTTCTTCGGCTTTAACTTAATAAGTCGACTAGACTCAATTCATTAACCAATCAATCATTGAGGATCGACTCCTAAAAGTTGGGTTAGGGGCTAGCTTGTTTCATTGGGTTCAGCTGGTGAATCTTTCTATGCCGCAATAAAAATATTACTAAATTTGATGTTGAGCCAACTGATTTGGGCCACATTAAGCCTTAAAAGCCATTGTTACATATCTCATGTGACCAAATTTATACCCAAAAACAATAAAGAAAATAAATAAACCTCATAGCTTCTTATTTAGTTTGAAACGAGTAGAAAAGAACAAATCTCTCACCCAAAGAGGAGAGCAAGAAAGCACAGCAAACAGGCCAGTCATGTGACCAAAACTAATAAGCTTTGGTGGCTTAGGCCCCAAGACCTTATTTGCCACATGCCTAGCAAACACACGAGCATCCGTTGCTTTACTTCCTTGAGAAGCCCTTGCTCTCTCTGCAATGGCCTCCTTGAAGTCCTTATAGAGCTTCCAATCATGACCACCCAATCTCTCCACAGTAGCACTCCCAAAATTTGATCTAACGGCCCCAGGCACAACCAGCACAACATCAATACCAAAAGGCTTCAACTCAACCCTCAATGTGTTTGACATGGCATGCACCGCAGCCTTGCTTGCACAATAAGACCCTGCCCATGGGGTTGGCACTTTGCCCACAACGCTTCCGATATTTACAATACTTCCACTGCGCCGCGATGCCATGTAAGGCACCACTTGTTGTACCACCCTTAGTTGCCCTAGTGTGTTAATTTCCCAAGCCCTTCTAATGGTCTCTAGTGGAAGCTCGGCTAGAGGGCCGGTGCTTCCTATCCCAGCATTGTTAACAAGAACATCAATACGACCATACTTGGACATGACCGTCTTTACAGCAAGCGCTACACTTTCGTCGGAGGACACATCGAGCTCTAGTGCCTCGATGTTGTCCGAGGAATTTAAGTCTATGTCGTGCATGCGTTGGGAGATGTCTGTGGCAAAGACGCGGCAGTTTTGTTCCGCAAAGGCCTTGCAGTACTCATAACCAATGCCACCTTTGGCACAACCTGTAACTAGAACAACCTTAGAGTCACCAGTACTCATGTTGTTTCTTAATATTTCCTTGTCATAAGGCAATGAGTATATAGAGGCATATATATGCATGCACTATGTTAGTTCCGCCAAGGTGTTTCTTGTTCATTGGTTTATTAGATAATCTACGCTATAAGAATATGCTTCAGGGCATATCCTATTTCAATCAAGATCGGCCGGCTATGCTGGGGTTTATTTGAAATGGAATTTGCATATGGTTGCACACATAGCTCCAATTGGATAATGCTATACTCCCAATTCTTTTTTTCCTCAACCAGCATGACATTATTTCATTGGATTCAACATTATTATAATACTGTAGTGTGCATATCAGGTGCCACATTGGTCGGAAAACAAAATTGAAAGAAAAAGTTAGACTCTCTAAGTATCTTCCTCTCCAATTTTATAGCCATATTCATCAATTTTTTTGTTTCTCTTTTGGAATGCACAAAACTTCTTTAATCTGAACCAACAATCGTAAACTTTTTTTTTGTTCCTTGTTGGTAAGAGCAATGGAAGTGATATGCACTTAACTGAGGAAAGGGTGGTTGTGGTATTTCACTTGGAAATGTGAAACACAAACAAAATCTAAACAAGATTGCAGAAATTGCCAAGAGGCAAGGTTAAAAATAAAAAAGTATAATATGGATAGCAACCGAAGTGAGAGCGACTAGAGAGCTCTGTTGGCGCTGCACTGTACCAATGCATGGGGACTAAAAGGCCTCTGCGCCCTTTTCCTTTTTGAGAGCAAGACAATGCCCTTCTCACCATTAAAAGTGTCCCCTCTTCCATTAACCAATGCCATTTCTCTGCAAACTCCAATCACCATTTACTCTCTTTCAATTGGCTCTCTCTCTCTCTCTCTGAGAGAAAACTTTGTCATGTCGCATTCCAAAATTAAGATTCTCTCTCTACAGCTACTTCTATAACTGCAACATCTATAGCTGCTGCTGCTATGAATTTCTTTCATATTGTCATAA